GCGACCTTTGTGGTCTTTGCCCTTGGGGCCCGAGGCTCAGCGACTCTAGCGTTTCTGCCTGGTGGACATGTGCCAGCAACATGTTGCAACGTTTTACATATTCATTACTTTCTGCTACCTTCCCTGCCGGATTGCCCAAAGTTGCCAAGTTGCTGCACCATTGCCCCATTGCTGTGCCATTGCAGCGTTTGCAGTTTCTGTCCTGTGTTTGTTGCTGCTGCTGCCTCCTGCTGCCTGCTGCAGGAGCTGTTGCGTTTTTTTTCCTGTATTTAAGTCGTAACGTTCAACCACATTTGGCTGTTTCGGCGCGTGACGCAGGAGTATGTTATTTGCGTTGTTTTTCTCAAAACAGTTGGCCCAGCAAGGTCAACTTCTTGCAGATCCTGATGCTATTGGTCCTGCGCTGGCGCAAAACGCCAAAGTTCAAGAACATCGACGTGAGGCGGGCGCTTTGTCATCCCCTAGTCGTTTGGTCTGCAACTCATCATGGGCATCGGATTCTCTCGTGTTTTGACTGGCATTCGACCGGCGTTCAATTTGGTTGCCGGACTGGTGGGAAGCTGGGTGTTGCTTGGAAATAGTGCAACGCAGGCATATAGGTTGCTTCACAGGTGCCAATTCTGCGGACGGGTTTTGTTGGTGAATAGGCCCATTCGCGGAGTGCAAGCCATGACAAGTGAGGTCTGTGCAGTCTGTCAAAAACACGCCATAGGAGTGACTTTGGATGATCCTGAGCTGAGGTTGATTAAGTTGATTCTTGCTCATTGCCTTCAACGCCGCACTACCCTTGCATAACAAGTTCTCGACTTGGCAAGGTAATTAATCACTCAGCGCCCCTTTTGGGGGTATACTGTTTTGTCAACCCCTCAGCTTTCTTCTATTTTAGTCTCTGGGTCCCATGATGGTTGCCTCAAACATCAGGGTCCGTTTCAGTTTCTGGCTTACCCTTTCGATACCCAATGCCCCCAATGCTCGTGCAAAAACCCTTTTGGCGGACTTGCCGTTCATGGCTTCGGGTTGGGAAGCAAACTAATATGGGTGTCTTTAAATTTCCCAGGCCTGTCAGGCTAGAAACCCTCAACCCTTGTGGCTTGCCCTTTGCCCGCTTTCGGGGTTCAGTGTAAGACACAAATTCATCCCAAAACGGTGTGCCCTTCCTCCCCTCCTATGAGCTTCAGCTTTGTTGCTGGGCATGAGGTCGACCCCTAACTAAAAGCACACATTGACATACCGCAGATGAAAAGTTGATATCCTACCCACTCTGGAACCTCCCTGGAGGTTCCTGAAAGACTCGTTTTCCCTTAAAGTGACCTTTTGTCAGATTCCATGTTGGTTGGGAAGGAGTGTATTTGGGGGAGTCTAAAACTAGAGGGCCATTTGATTGGCCAAACGGAAGCCAATGTTTTAAGAGGTCCCTGGTTTAGAATTCCAAATTTTGGGCGTCTGCTTTTGTTGAGGGTACCCATTCCTGAAAGAAACCCAAAGGAAAACCGTTTCGCCCATGTTGCCTCCCGGTCCAAATAATTTTGACACGTTGCCAACTCTCTTAACGAGACACCCCAAGCCAGGGCTTCATTTCGGGAACCCAATTCGAAAGGGATCCAACTTGAGTGTGACAGGATAACGACGAATTGTCCCGGTCGCCATTGTTTTTGCAACACTTTGAACCATTGCGGGGCACCCTTTTTGCGACTGGTCTTCAAGGGAAGCCCCACGCGTCGCCTTAGGGCTGTAGCGCATTGTCTGGGTGCCTGGGCGGCCATGGATGTGGCGCTGATTAGCGTCTTGGCATTTCGAGGCTTCGAGGAGTTCCGGCTGGCCGCAGAACCACCCTGGTGTGGACAAATGGGTGTGTCTTTTGTTTGGGTACCCCCAGTTTTTGGGGTTGGTTTCAAGGGGATATAAGGAAACCACCCATATTGAGGGCTCCCCTAAAACGAGACTAGGCCAAATGTGGGCCGCTTCTATATTGCAAGTCTTATGTAAAGAGCAGTCCTCAAAGGCTTCTAAAAGAGGGAAAGACCTGCACGAACCAGCAGCTGTTGGATGGTTTCGTTGTTGGAGGAACCTTCGACAGAAAGCCCGCACATGCTGCAACTTGACTCACCCTCCCAACAGCAAACATTGAAGCACACTTTTGCCCTTATACCAGAAGCAAGATCTTCCGGTAGCAGTCTGCCAACGCTTGTCCGAATATAGCGGATTTCTAGCTTGCAGGCGGGACGTCTAACGCGCATTGTTGCTTTTATAAAAGGAACCGTGGTTTGGATTGGGGTTACCATTTTGAACCACAGTGCCTCTTGAAGTGATTTCAATAGAACAAAAAGATCGGCACCCACACTCACCGGGCAAGCTTCCCAACAAGCACCTTCCTGGCACGCCATTGGTGTCTGTCGCTGCCGGGAGCTAGATCTCAGTGCATTTTGCACTTTTGGATTCGGGAGCCGCCGGGGTGCGAGAAGCTACCGAGGTCAGCCTCTCAAAGCCGTCCTCAATCCATCGCCCTGCCAGCACAGGATCATGCTGGGGCGCAAAATCCGAACACGTTTCACTGACAAGAATCTTCTGACACGCAATGACAAACACACACACACAAAAAAAAGCAAGCGGGTGTGGCTCAAAGCTTCAGAGTTAGGCGTACGACGGTTTTAGTCTTTGGTTCCATCTACCAAGGTGCCGATTCTCTGGTACATTTTTGGAGCCACAGCCAAACCAAACAAATCAAAGCAAGACAAAACTAAGCAAAGCAAACAAGCCAACTCAAACCAACTCAAACCAAACCAAACCAAACCAAACCAAACCAAACCAAACCAAACCAAACAAGCAAAGCCCGAAAAACAAGAACCCCGAAAGCCCAGCAAGCCGGCGCGATGCTAGCTCAAGAGCTGGGACGACTTACGGCGCAAGCGCGCCAGCAGCAGGCGCAGCAGGCGCGGCATATTCGGAATCCGCAGTTCAAAACCCATAGCCAAAAGGTGCACGCCTGAGTTTCTGGACTTGATACCTTTTGGGGTTGGTCCATGTTAGTGGCAAGAGTCAGACTCTTTTGGCTCCTGGTTTCCCTTTTTGTTGGCAATTGGTACAATTATGTGGGGGATTGTTCGGAGTATGGCCGGATCTCACAAAGGATTTGCATCACTCTTGGGAGTAGATTTTCTTGGACTCCGTATTCTGGTTGGTGAGTTGTTCATATTCACCCATATTGTATTTCAAAACCCTTGGCAGTGTCAGAAAAGTGACTGTCTAAAGGCAATCGGGAATCATCCCATCGAGAGCAAGGCGCATTTTATTTTGACAGCCCCAGTGATGAGCTTGGGCGTTGCGTTCAGCTGTCTTGTGCAGGGGTTCCCACAGTTGCCCCTTTGGAAGGTTCAACTGTCACCACCTTCTGGGGCTGATTTGAAGCGAGTCTCCTTTTGGTGTGATGTTTTTGGCGGTCTTTGGACGGCCAAAACGGCAAGCAAACAGAAGTCACGACCGGAAAATTAGGGAGACACCGCCTGCCTCGGGAGTGCGACGTCGGTTTGAGCCAGGTTGACACATTAATACACATTGCAGTGCCATGGTTCTTGACACGGAAATGAGCAGGGCTAAGCGATTTTACCACAAAACAACGAGCAAACGAGCAAACTGGATGTTTCCAAGCGCCAACCAGTTTTGCTTGGTCTACACTCAGATTCCGGAAGTCAGAATGACGTTTTGGGCGCTTCGCATTTGTGTTCACGGCAAAATATCAAATCCAAACTCACAGTCTATCAAGTCTCAACTAAAATCCTATGTGGAAAGGGATGCCTGTTCAATTTCCAATTTGAAACAGACATTGAAATCGAATTATAACTAGATCCTATTTTGACATGAATTTATATTTATATACTGATTCAATACAGCTATTATTTGGAAAGGAAGCCTATGTTCAGTTACTACATAGAGTTAAAACTGAATGTAAGCAACAACTCATATACTTACTTCCTGAGATTCGTGGAAATGGGTTGCTTGCCACTCATGAAACGTCACGTAAACGGCACATGTGTTTAGGCTCAGGCCTGTTTTGAGTAGAGGGGGGCACTCTCGCGGCGATGGAGTGGCCTGAGCCGTGGTCCAGGTTGGCGGCGTGCGGCTGGACCACGGCCAGGCTCGGCACGCTGGACGACCTGCCGAAGAGAGGCCTTCAGGGTCCTGGAGAAGGCGTGGGGCCGGGAGGCCACGGTGGAGGAGCTGGAGGAGTTCCACGAGAAGGTCATGGAGTGCGGGAGCACCGGCAGGATCCAGTGGGGAGTGGAAGGCCGTTCCGGTGGCCTGGACTGGGTGGCGGCTGGCTTCAAACGGGCCAGGACCTTCCGGTAGGAAGTGGAGGCGGAGGTCGTGGATCTCGAGGCGCTACCCTGCAGGAAGGGCAAAGCGCCCTTGGCACGCCGGCCCTGCCGGCTCAGCAGGTTGGTGGGGCGAGCTGGAGACAACATGGACCTGCGGGACCGGGCCGAGAGATCGGAGAGGACGAGGTGGACGGTGATGCTCAAGAGGATCATCGTGGAGTCGGAGCTGCCGGCTTCGGAGGGATGGAACGCGGACCCCGACGGGACGGCCTGGCACCGGGTCGGAAAGGGGAGGAGATCCACCACTTTGCGGAAGCACGTCAAGACCTGGCGGCATGTGGCTACATGGCTGTACAGCACCTACAATGTGCCTTGGCCGCGGACCATTGAGCAGTTCATCGAGTACGTCACGCATCGGGTGGCCGAGCCGTGCGGCAAGAGCATCCCCACAAGTTTGATGAAGACCCTCATGTTCATCGAGGTGGCTGGGGAGGTGCCGGAGAAGGAAAGGCTTTGCAAGCATCCCGCACTGCAGAACACCTTGGAGGAGGTCAAGCTGGAGCTGGGGAGCTGGATCTGCGAGGACGGCGGCAGGCGGTGCAGATCCCGGTAGAGATCGTCATGGCTCTGGAACGATACGTGATGACGGAGGGGGTGCCCAGATACCCCCGGGCCTATGCCTGGTTTCGGCTGGTAAAGCTCATTGCGCTTCTCGGACACGCAGGGAATGCCCTTCGGCAAGTTGGAGATGAGCGGCCGAGGACTTCGGGGTGTTCTGAAAAGGACCAAGACCACCAGGGCAGGGAAGAAGGTCGAGGTCCAGCACGTCTTCATCTCGGTGGACGCATGGCTGGAGGAGCCTGTGGAAGACCATGAGCGAGGAGGCAGGTTTGTTCACTTGGGACTTCTTTCTGCCCAACTGCGAGGGCACCGGTCTCATCGGGGCCATGGGCAAGTACTACCACGCGTTGCAGATGAGTCAGGCCTTGATGGCCGAGCTTGTGATGAGCCAGAGGAAGCAGGACGAGCTAGAAGGTGTCGGTCGACCTGGAGGGGTTTTGCTTTGCCAGGGCGCGGGCACTGTTTGGTCAGAGCATTCCGAAAGAGCAACCTTGAGGTCTTGGGCGTCTTCGCTGGGGGTCGACGACTACGTGGCCAGGCAGCTGGGCAGATGGCAGCCTTCCACGGACGAGGCCTATGTCAGGACCATCAGGGGCAACGTGGAGGGCGCAGAAGATGATGGCCGAGGAGATTCGGAACAATTTGGGGGGCCCCGACAAGCTGGACGAGGAGTCCATCATGGAGAAGGTCGTGGAGAAGCTGGCGGTGCAAGAGATGGACCCCAACGATGTGGAAGACCAGAAGCTGAGGCTGACTAGCTTCCAGGGAGGCATCTTCGCGAGCATCCTCGGGAAGGACTGCTGGCAGGCGTCGGAGAGGGACCCGCTGGAGGTGGTCGAGGTGGAAGACGGCGACGAGGGAAGCAAGAACGATGAGACCGCCAGTGAGCCAGATCGGACGCCGAGAGCCGGTACTTCGTGAGTCTGGTGGGAAGATCGCAGAGGAGGACACTCCACCGTGGGGGAGAGTGTCATCGTGTCCCGGGGGTGCACTACAAGCGGTTCGAGGACTTGGGCGAGGACCTACCTCCGGAGGGCAGGTACCACCGGGTGTGCAAGGAGTGCTTCCCTCGAGGTGTCGAGGCTGGCAACGAGCCAGGGGCCATCGAGGACAGCGAGGTGTCATCCTCGATCTCGGCTTCTACGGAGTCGTTAGACTTAAGAGTTTGGATTGCAGGGAACCCCTGGAAACAGTAGAATAACTATTTAGCAAAAAATAGCAACAAAATTAGCAAATTTAAATTGCACTGGAACTATATTTTTTGCAAATGCGTTCGCCAAGCGCTGGCCAAGATTAGCAAAAATTAGCAAAAGTTAGTAAACATTAGGAACCATTAGCAAAAAATAGCAACCCTCTCGCAAAATGAGCTTCCAGGGGGCCAAAACCACGAGAGGGTTGCTAAATATTGCTATTTTTTGCAAATGTGTTCGCCAAGCCCTGGTTAAGATTTGCAAAAATTAGCAAACATTAGTAAAAATTAGTAAAAATGAGCAAAAATTAGCAACCCTCTCGCAAAATGAGCTTCCAGGGGGCCAAGACCACGAGAGGGTTGTGCTATTTTTTGCCAAGCCCTGGTTAAGATTTGCAAAAATTAGCAAACATTAGCAAAAATTAGTAAAAAAATCGCAAAAAATAGCAACCCTCTCGCAAAATGAGCTTCCAGGGGGCCAAAACCACGAGAGGGTTGCTAAATATTGCTATTTTTTGCAAATGTGTTCGCCAAGCCCTGGTTAAGATTTGCAAAAATTAGCAAACATTAGTAAAAATTAGTAAAAATGAGCAAAAATTAGCAACCCTCTCGCAAAATGAGCTTCCAGGGGGCCAAGACCACGAGAGGGTTGTGCTA